CAACCCCCGGGGTTTTGACCCTTTTTTCCCCCTTTCCCCCCCCCCCCCCCCCCCCCCCCTTCGCGCCCGACGGCATGTAGGTGGTCGGCACGTCATTGGCCACCTGGTCGGCATTTCGGATCGTACGGCAAGCAGTGGAAGAAGCCAAGCCTGTGTGTGTCCTCAACAGCGGACCGACGCGCGCTGACGGTGTCATCCCTGAGTACCTGCGCCTATGCATGCCGATTGGTGAGGTACTACCCGCTGCACTCCGACAGCTATAATGCTGTTTCACCGACATCTCTTGTCAGCCCACGCGATCAAGGGCACACTGAAACAAAGAATAAATGCTTGGCCCGTGCCAACGGCCACGGTTACGCGTTTCGCTGCCTCTGGTGGCGCCAGCCCGGCCGGCGGTTTGATTGTAGCTTCGTTTAGGGTTTGACTGGCCTCCACGCGCCGTGAAGCCTGACATTTTGGGTGATTTTAAGATGAATTTTATCGAATTTTTATCGAATTTTCCTGTATTGTCTCGTCAATCGCCCCGTTGTCCTTGGATGTGGTTGGGCTTGTCGCGTGTGCCAACTGGGCCTTTCTGCCAGCAGTTGACGATTGTTCAGCCCATATTCACCGGTGTTGTTTGGCGACCTTGTATAATTTCATCCGCGAGTGCAACTATCAACAAGCTTTGCTCAATTAAATTTTTATTTCCCGCCAATCTCATTCGTGATGCTATTTCTGTGAGACCTCAAATTCTCAAAAGTATCAGTGCGCATTTGCAAAAAGCAAACTCGACAAAGCGAATGGTATGTCCCCGACTGGCGGTCAGTACTTGACAGTGAGACATCATCAGCATGAGAACTTTCTCAAAAGGAGCCCACGGCGCTCAACAGACCAGGTCATAGAGATGCAAACTCTCCACGGTCTTTGATCGCTGAAGATCAGGGCTCGCGGTGCCTTGCCCGTCCACGGGAAGTGGGACTTGGCGGCGATTGATGTAGGCGGTTTGGTACTTGGACTCGCGTCGCTCCAGCTCAGAATCTGTGATACCTGATGTGGGTGCAGGGGGACTGGCCAAGAGACCATTTTCGCTCGACGTTGCCATCTGACCATGAAGATGAACAATGACATCAGGTTACAAGCAAGCAAGCAAGCAAGCAAGCACGAGGATGAGTCGATGCGGGGGGTTGCGAATGAGGCCGCCAGTGTCCGATTCAAGTCGGGCAAATCATACCGGCTTGACGCCACTGCTTGCTGGAGGATTCAGGATCGGGCGAGTCGCAGGAATGGGAACAACCAGACCCTGGCCGTGGGCCAAGGTGCGAGGGGCTGGGACAGGGGCGCGATCGTCGTGATCTTCAGGTCGGACGTTTGTGACCGTATTGGACGGATGGCGCTGTGAGGCCGCTAGCCGCGCATGCTCCCGGCCCATGGCTAATAGTGTGGCGGAATCATTGTACTCATATGCTGGCAGTGCGTCCCCCTCCGTTTCCGCTTCTTGTGGGCTTTTCACTTTGGAACCATCCACTTGCTCTTCTGGTCGTTCCTCGCTACCAGCACACGCTCCTCCGGTGGTCGGCTGGTCGGCTGGTGGGCCAACCAACGAAGGGGTGGGCTGAGCATGTGTGTTGGCATCGCTGTCGGCCTCTAGAGAAGAGCCTCGAGACGACGCCTGCGAGACGAGGCGAGGTGGTGGCTGGGGCTGCGCTGCAAAGACGCGCTGCGGCTCGTCGTAGTCTGCGAGGTCGGCGTCTTGTGCCAGGGTGTGTGTCTGCTGCGCGGCAGGCCCGCTTGAGTTTGCCAGGTTGGATCGCACCTGAACATCGCGCACCAGACCATAGTCATCCTTATCCCTGCCAGGTACCTGTGTTAAATTGGCCAAGGGAAACGCCGTGAGGGTGGTCAGACGAGATGAGGGGGCGAGAAGAGCCTGGCAAATGTTACAAGCAGTGCTGCAGAGCACACAGGCATGGGACGTACATCAAAGTGAACATCTGATTCAGCATAATTGTCCATGCTGGCACCACGTCGCTGCTCGAGCAAAGTGCGCGCCAGCTCTTGCGGTGCTTCTCGTGCAGCTCTCTTGGCTTCCAGCGCCTCGGCGAGTCGGACGGGAATCTCATATCCATCTGTTGTTGGGGTTAGACACACATCAGGCAAAGTTATATAGCGCGACCAATGAGGTACAGGCAACGAGGCATGAGCGAGCGGGGCATAACCCAGGGGTGACACTACAGCCATGCAGGTGAGCCAGGGGTTGGTCTCAGGGCGTCGGGTCTTCCATACTGACCGTTGGCGATGGTGGAGGAGGCTGCCTCCACACCTGCTGGCAGAGGCGCTGGAGCACGGGAGGCGCGGCGACTTGGTGTGGATTGGGTAGTAGTGGGGGTGGTAGTGGGCTTGGCAGAGCTGTTCGCCCGGGCGGTGCCAACTGCCACAGCGGCAGCTATGCGGCAGATGTCCTGGGGCTCCTCGTATTGTTTGTCAGCATCGCCCAGGTTTGGCTGTGCCGGTGCAGCTGGCGGAATCGGAGCTGGCCCTCGCCGAGGCGCCTCGGTGTTGGGTGTGGCATTGGATGTGGATGATGCGCCGGCAGGCAGGGTAGACATCATGGGGACGGGGGATGGGGCAACACCACGAGCCGCAAGGTCTGGGCTAATAGTGGAGGGACGCGGCGTCGACGCCGCACTCGCGGGCGCCGAATCGCGGAGCATGCGCGTGGGATTGAACGGTTTCAGGCTGGGAAAGTCTCGCTCGCTGTAGTGCCAAAAGCGAAGGGCAAACAGGAAGGGTGAATTTTCATAATGTTGCACGAGCGCCTCCATGGTGGGGAAGTCGTCGCGCTCGGCTAGGCCAAAGCCACGCCGCCCAGCCGTTTCTGGGGTATGAACGCGAATGTGTGTCAGGACGGCGTCTTGATTGGGATTATCACGCCAGATGATGCTGACGACGAAGCGATCGGCTGAGCGGCGAACGAGGTAGGTACCGTCCTCGCACTTGCCCAGCATGACGTTGGCCTCGGCCCGGCTGACATCACCGATGTAAAAGTCAAAGCTTTGCAATAGATCGCGTTGAGAGGGCAACGTGGGGAGCTGGCGCCCGCGTAGCTTACTGCCAACTGCCGAGGCAGAAGGAGTATAGTGTTGGGCAGAGTTGGTGGTTTTGGTGGTGGAGGCAGCGGCGTTGGCGCGGCGGTGTCGACGGGCTTCGCGCTTTTGATCCTGCTGCGCGCACTTTTTCACGCGGCCAAGATCCTTGTTGGACACGAGTGTGCCACCAAGCTCAGGACCACAGGCCCGTTGCTGGTCCATGCGGCTCGCCTGGGACAGGATGACGAGGTTGAAGAGTGTATCACGCACATCCACGGATGGGGTGGTGCTCATGTCGACGGTGACGTGCTCTGGGGCACAATAGCAGTCACCTGCACGTCACAGCACTGGGTGGAGGTGGGGCGAGGATCTGTGTGTTCGGCGTGTTTGTTGTGGTGCAGGCCACGCGACACGGGTGGGTCGCAGGTGCGATGATGGTTTCGTGTCACAGTTGGGGGGGGGCTGGAGGGGTTAAGCCAGAGGCAATTCACGATATGTACGTGTCGGCGCGGGGGCGTGCTGCGTTCCAATGGAGCTCTCGAGGGAAGGAGGTGGGAGAAGCTTAGCTTTTCCGCGAACAATCAATGACGGCAGACGGCTGCGGAGGCACAGGCCCGTCGTGCGCCTCTTGGCACTCGGGCAGACCACCTGGCGAGCGCGAATCAGGAGCTTAGTTGAGCAGGGCAAAGCGCGGGTCGCACGATGGCTGATGGCACCGCTGCGGAATTGTTGGTGGGCGAGCGACGTTTTCGCTTTGACAGTTTTTCGTCTGACGAGGAGGCGAAGGCAGGACAACGTGCGTGGAAAGAGAGAGCAGGACGTCGAGGGTGTAAGGGGGCAAAGGGGGAGAATGTCGAGGCGGGCACGGTATGCGTGTGTGGGAGGCTGCAATCGGAAGTGTGAATGGCTGAGTTGCGCTTAAGCAGCCGGGCGGTCGAGCGACGTGTGGTCAGTTGGTTTGCATCACTGGCATGTGCGTGGAATGAGTGACTTGCTCCCGCGGCAGGAGCGTAAGAGTAGAGGTCGCAAAAACCGCCCGGGCAGGACCAACACAGACAACAACAACAACAACCCGGCTCTGATCACCTCGGCAACACTTGACAAACAGCGCGTGCGGTTGAGAAAATCTGGTTGTGTGTGGTGTGTGTGTTGTGGGTGAAGTGGACCAGCGTCATGATAACAAAAGGTCTGGCGCTTGGGGACCCATACATGAGGCGGGATCTGAGCGGAGCGCTCGAGGAATGTGAGCGCAGCACGATCTGGTCGTGCTGCCGCCTTGATCATGAGAGATGCTCGACATCGCACGGACACGCATCGAGTCCGCGCACATGCATACATGCAGATACATTTTGATGACATCACAATAAAGGGGTACAATATTCCCCTCCAAATTTGAAACATAGTGGGGAAGCCTTTTAATTTTAAAAAGTGCCATCTGATGTAACTTTGATTTTTCTTGAGAAGGAAGGAGGTGACCGTTACAAAATGCCGCCGATCCGGCGGAAAGATGGGCGTGGCCGCACCTGTGCCTCGCACTCCATGCTTGAACGGCTGCGGTGGGCACAAGCAATGGAAGACGGTCATCAGACAGTCGCTGCCGTCGCGAGTGAGGCCAACGTTTCGCTGGCGACGGTGTACAACTGGCGAAATGCCTTCAAGCGCGGCAAGTTGCAGTGCGATGTGGCGAGCTCGCGACAAAATCAAGTCGTGCGCGGGTGACCAAGTTTCCGCGGTTGGAGCGTTACGTTGTAGATTTACTAACGACAGCGGCCAATGCACCCGCGAGTGTCCGCCGCCTCGTTAACGCATCCCGTCGCGCCATTCTTATCGCGGCCAAGGAACATGCCAACAGGCTGGTCAGCGAGGGCTTCCCGGAATATGCAGAGTTCAGAGCTAGCCACAACTGGCTTCGCACGGTGAAGGAGAAGATGGGGTTACAAAGCGTATCCGTACACGACGAAGGAGGCAGCGTGGATGAAACGGCCGCTGCCACTGCCATGGAAGCCTTTCATGCGGAACTTGGTGCTCACGGGGTTGACGACCCAGACTGCATCATCAATTGCGATGAGACAGTGCTGTGCTGGAAGCAGATTCCGAGCTATCGCTACACTATGCCTGACAGCATCTCCGCGTCGAGTGCCACGAAGCATCTGAAGGATCAAAATCGTGCCACGCTGATTTTGGCCACCACGCTCTCTGGTCTGAAGGTGCCCCTCACACTCATCGGCAAGCCGCAGCACCCACCTTGTTTTGACTATGACCCACCCAATAATGGTGACACGAGGACGTACTTCAGCCAGAATCGCGCCTGGACCGACCGCGCGACGATGTTGCGCTGGCTGAAGGAGGTGCTGATCCCCTGGAAGAGAAGCATCGTTGGGACCAAAAAGATTGTTCTGATCTGGGACAACGCTCATTCGATTGATTCGGCAATGTTAGACGGTGTTTGTGGGCCCGACGAACTCGCGATCGTATGCCTTCCCGCCAACTTGACCGCGCGTCATCAACCACTAGACGCTGGCATCATTGCTGCATTTAAGACGCGATACAAAGGAGAGCTGCTTCGTCGCTACGCGGAGCTGGCGGCGAGTGCAGAGAGCTTCCAAAGTTGTCGCCAGCGGGAGGCCGAGCTACAACGAGATTGTGGCATGGAAATGCAGCTCTCTGGCATCAAATTCGGTCGGATGCCGTCATTGTCTGATGCCCTCGATCTGAGTCTGGCCACATGGGAAACGCTTTCCACAGACACCATCATTAATTGCTGGTTAAAGGCAGCCTGTGTTCCCCTCGCCATTTCGACGCAGGTGCTGCGGCGCACTGAACAGGGTCGCAACTATCTGATGGAGTTGCAGAGCGATCCCGCTTCCAAACTGGCTGCAGATTGTGGCTATGACGACGCTCTGGATGTCGCAAGTATTGTCGACAGGATGGCCCTTGTCAGCCTCTCCCTCTTGCGTTGCGATGGGTCAGAGTTTAATGACCTACAATTGCCACCGACAGTCCAGGCAGAAGCGGACAGCGAGAGCGCGGCTCGATATCAAATTGCACTCGAGGACACTGAAGAGGCGGCTGTTGCCATGACCCAGCTCGCTCTTGCCGACAACGAAGTTGATGCGGCTCGAGAAGCAGAGGCGGAAGTGAAGATGGAAGCCACTAGAGTTAAAAGAGCCTCGGAGTTACTGACCTCGATCGAGACATTGACAGACCGCTTGGACAGCCAACTGCAACAACTTGCAAGGGTGGCACCCCAAAAGCTACCTGCTGGCTATGATGACTGGCACCGCTTCCATCGATCCGTGCAAAGTCCAAAAGACCCTTTCAAGGCCAGCAAACATACATCCAAGACCACTTTCGTCGTGCAAGCACACGGTAGAAGGAGCAACGTGTGTGTGTGTGTGTGTGTGTGTGTGAATTGACAGATTGCCATGAAAATGTCTGACGTCTGTCTAAAAGTAGAAGATGATTTTGCGCTTAAAATACAAATGCAGACGGGCCAAAGTTGGCGATACTGCCAAACAAGCAAATCAACTTAAAATAGCCGATCGAGTTTCAGTGCGATGGCGGTGCCAGCTGAGCAGAGTGACGCGGCCTCGTCGTGGGGTGGCTGGCACCGCTCAGCGCCGTTTATTTTTCTTCCTCTGCCTTTTCCATCATCCCACAACCCGTCCGTGCAGTTCTTTTCTTGTCAAGTGTCATCAGTCCTTGCCAGTCTGTCCTTGAATGTGTGTGTGTGTTGATCACCGTCAAGCCTCGACTTGCTCTGCAAAACTTGCACGATGGAGCAGCCGCCTTCGCACTTGGTGTGTCAAATATCCCACGAGCTGATGCGGGATCCTGTGGCGGCGCCCGATGGCTATGTCTACGACCGCACCAACATTCTGCAATGGATTGGGCAAGGGGAGGACGGCCAGCGCAACAACTCCCCCTTTGATCGCAGCATTACCATCTCCGCTGCGGATCTGCGCCCTGCCATGACCATCCGCAGCGCGCTGGAGGAGTACATTGCCCAGCACCACCTCGAGTTCGAGGTGGCTCCCTTGGTCACGGGTCGCCCTGCTCTAAAGCTGCCGGCGCGTTTGGCAAGTGAGCTCGAGCTGGAGGTGGCCCTGCACCCGGTGCCTGGGGAAACCCGCAAGGCCATCTTGGAACTCATTCCACAGCGCCAAACGGCCACGACCAACATTCACCTCAATCTGGTCCTGGACGTGTCGGGCTCCATGGGGGCAGCGGTCACGGCTCGCGACGAGTCCAATACCCTCATCGAATACAACCTCTGCGTCATGGACCTGGTCAAGTTTGCCAGTCAAGTGGCCGTCAAATGCCTGGCACCGGGCGACGTCATCTCCATCGTCACCTTTTCCGACGCGGCCAAGATCATTGTCGAACCCATCTCCGTGCCCGATCCCAAGATGGGCGCCGACACCACCGTTGCTGACGTGCTGGGCAAGATTGACGCCATCTATCACGGCGGCTCAACCAACCTGTGGGCTGGCATTGAGACGGGCCTGCAGCTTTTAGCCTCGTGTGCGCAACCGCACCTCCACAACGTCTGTGTAGCGCTCACGGATGGCGAGCCCAATCGCCACCCGGAGCAGGGCTACGAGACCGCGCATCGCCGCTTCAAGCAAATGCCCAACTTCTCCTACGTGCTCCATACCCTGCCCTTTGGCTTTGGTCGCATCGATTCGGCCCTGCTGCAGTCTCTGGCGAGAACCGGCGAAGGCATCATGGTCAACATTCCCGACTGTGGGATGGTGGGCACCGTCTTTACGAATCTCATCGCCAATGCCAAGGTCACCTCGCATCGTGGGCTCCGGCTCTTGGATCTGGATGGTGTCCTTGATCGCGCCGAGCCCACGGGCGCCACCTTTGATTACAACGCCAGCAAGCAATTCCTGGCCTTGGGAACCCTGCAGGCGGAGCAGCCCCGCTACCTGCTGTTGCACTTGAATCAGGACGTCCACGACTGCACAGCCCTGCGCCTGCAGCTGGCAGCCGAGTGCTTGCCCGTGGCACCGGGCGCGGGTCGCACGGCACTGGAGCGGCCTCCAACGGGTAAGGCCGGCCTCATCGCAGTGAAGCCGCGCGCGACCTGCGGTCTCGAGTCGGAGGTGCTGCTGCGCGTGCTGTTTCGAGATGCCGCATGTGCCATGCTATCACGCGTCGTCAACTTGATGGCCACGGGCGAGACAGGGGCAGCGCGCTACGCCCTGGAAAACTTTCTGAGCTTGCATGATGTTCTTACCGAGGCTCCAGAGATGGAGGTGGACCTCAACGAGCAGGTGCGGCAGGCCTTGGTCCCAGCTGCTTACAAGCGTTGGGGCCACACCTATGTGCCATCCTTGGCCATGGCGCACTCAGCCCAGGTGCGACACAACTTCAAGGACCCGGGCGTGCAGGCATACGGCGGTCCCCTCTTTGGCACTGAGGCCGGGCGCATGTCCGATATTTTTGATGCCATGCCCGTGCCCAAGGGGACCCGTCAGGTGGGCGCATCGTTGGCATCGGGCGCCGTGCTCAACAATTGCTATGGTGGTTGCTACAGTGCTGACAGCCTGGTTGATCTGGCATCGGTACGGGCGCCTGGCACGACGGGGGACGTGGCGCAGCGCACGGGCGACGTGCGGAATCTGGCTGGCGCGTGGCAACGACGGGCCGACGCGATTCGGGCCGGGGATGTGCTGGCCAATGGGGCGGTCGTGGACTACGTGGTGGCTGTGGCGTGTGCGGGCGGGGAGCACGACTTTTGTCAACTGAGCCCCGGGTTGCGCATCACCCCCTGGCACCCAGTGCGGGAGCCCAGCACCAAGCGCTGGGCTTTTCCCAGTGAGCTGGTGGTACCGAAGCGCCATGCCAGCGAGTACATGTACTCGTTTGTGCTGACGGCAGGCGGTGAGGTGCCGGTGGACGGGCATACTACGGTGGGGCTGGCTCACGAGTTGCAGGAACCGGTGGCCGCGCATCCCTTTTTTGGCAGTCCGGCTTTGCGCGACCGGGTGGCGTTGCTGGCGGCGCGGGCGGGCACGGCCCGTACCTTGTGGCTGGCACCCCAGGCCTTTGTGCGGGACACGGCCACGGGCTTGGTAAAGGATTTTAACGAGCACGCCGTACGTAGCCAACCCAGCGTGTCATAGCACGGGGCTATGCCAGCCACGAGGATGGTGTGCGCCTTTTTTTTCTCCGTTTCCCATAAGAAAGTTTCGATAATGTTTTGTGTCGGTGCTTCTGTTGGCATCCAGCGCCCGTCAACCGTTTTGTACAGTATCTACAATGTCATGATGACTACGTAATTGATTGCGGAAGAACGAACGATTGGGTTTCGCTCCTTGTCTCTGTTTGTCTCACTGCCGTTTGGATCTATTAACACTGAGTCTGAGCCAGACTTCTGGACGCCCAATGAATGATCCAACGGAATGCTTGCCATCCCATCATCGGTCTGCTCCCAAAGTTTCGCGCACACTCAAATCGCGTTTGGTGGAAGTCTTTTTTTTTTTTTTTTTTGCTTTCAAAAACACTGCCGAGGCTCTTTCCCCCGCCCCAACTCGCCTCCTTTTTGTGGTTGGCCACCAACATTCCGAAAACGTTCGCGGCGCTGCCTTCATAGTTTCCGGTTTGGGTCAACGCGAGTGCCTTGCTTGGTTGCCCTGTGATGGCTATTCGCTGCCAATCGCGGCCGCGCACCCCATACCAAAAAGAATCACCAGCATCGATCAAGTTGCAGCCACAAAAAAACAACAACCCCCAAACCGTGCCACGAATCGTGTCCGCGTACGGCGCCGTGTTGAACGCTCTCGGACTAGAGCCGACGTCCCCTTGTCCATGAAAGTCCGGCTGCACTTGGTCGAGCTGCACTTGGTGAGCGAGTGTGAGACCAACAATCATAGGGCAGAGATTGGTCGCCTGCCCACCACCACATGACTTGCATTCTGGAACTGACCAAGCCCCAACCTTGTTTCTTTTTTTCCATTGCTTGTGTTGGCAGTTGGTTTACACTGTGTTAACTTGTCTTAAAGAGCATTGGACGGTTTGAGAGTTCAGAACTACTGTTGTTGTCCTTCTTTGGCGAAGTTGCGTGAGTTGAGTCCTGACGTTATGACGTTAGCGCTTCCGACTTACAATGCGATGTATGTGTGAGATTTGGCTTTTCAAGTGTGGTGGTGATAATGGACTCGACGTGACATTGAGCCCCACATGTGTGCAAATATGACGTTTGTGTATGTCAGGACCGGTCAGTATGTTGGTCGTATTGGGATCTCTGCCCACGGTTGGTTTTTGGTTTGGCTGGTTGCCCACATCACACACACTCTCTCTCTTACACGCTTGAAGGATCGTCCCTTTGGTTCCGAGTGGTACCCAACTCTTTGTCATGCCGTGCTCTCTCTCTGTTGTAATGTCTGATCTCTCCAGCTGTGCTTGCTGTTGGCTCTATTCTCTAATTCGATCTTTGTCTAGCTCCTGTTCTCTCAATGCCTCTTTCATACCCTTTGCTTTCTGCCACCTTGGCCCAACACCCACATCCACCTCTCTGCCGCCACGCCACCGTTTTCACACATCTCTGCCCTCTCTCCGCTGTTCCCCACCCATCTCTGCCAGCCTCTCGCCACCTCAACAAAAGCTCTGACAGCTGGATATTGCCGCGAGTGCCCCCCTCCCCCCATTTCTTCTTGGGACCTTTCCGGCAGCTCGGTCAGCCCGCTGCCCATCTGCGATCTGATATCCCCTGGGCTCGAGGTGGTTGCTCTTCCTGACGCTCTTCGTGGTGTGGTGTGCAGAATTAATTTTTTTTATGAAGCAGACCCCTGGCCCGCCACCAACATCGTGAGTGGTCATCCATCGCCTGGCTTTCTCTTTCCGCTGCTGTGTCGTTGTCGACGCGTCGTCGCTCGCTTGTGGGTCGCCTGCCCGCAGCCGTTTCTGCTCTTCTTCATCTGCCTTTGTTCTCGCAACGCCTGGCTTCCAAACATCATCTGTCATCCCTGCCATCTGGTCGCTGTTCCCTGTGCACCTTCCCTCGCAACGGCGCCCGCTTGTGCCCTTCGACTCACCCTGTTCTTTTTTTTTTTTTTTTCGGGGTTGCCATCCATAGCGACATTTCATTCTTGGCAGCAGCCTTTGACCGATTCGTGCTTCAGAAAGACATCTCTTTGCCTGGCGCTCCAACATTTTGTGCCCCAGTACCGGACCGCGCGCTGTGTCTTTCGATCAATCTGTCCCGTTACCTCCTCCTCCACCCCGGCAGATATTTCGACGCTGCCCTCTGGCGTTTTTTTTTTTTGTTTCTAGTCGCGATTTCAAATTTTTTTTGGGTTTTGTGCTTCGCAACGACTTTTGGTGCACTGATCCCGCGGGGTTTGTGTCAGTCTTCTGCCTCTCCCCTGGCTTGGTCTTGACACGTATGCTCAAGCCTTTTTCTTGAGACTTTCGTTTCATGTGGTGTGTGGGATTCATCACGTTTCTTCCCACACACCCCTGTTTGCGCGCTGCCCTTGCTCGCGTTTGCCTTGGTCGGGTTTGATCCATCATCAGGCCAGACCAGACCCGACACCAACGTTTTGTTTCGGCCTGTCCGACCCCACCCTTCCTCCTCTCCTCTCCTCTCCTCTCCTCTTGCTGCTCTTTCCTTCCTTCTCTTCGCCTTTGGCTTGCTCTCCTGCCCTTTCGTTTGGGCCGGCACTTCCTTTGGGTATTCTTGTCGTGTCCTGCCCGCACCGTTGACAACCTGCCCCAGCCAGCTCCTGCCTCGCGCACGTCAGCATGCTGAGCTACGCCACCTGCATCTGCCTGGCCTTGGAAGCCAACGGCGGCAGCATGCGAGCTTTGAGTATTCGACAGATTTACGCCTTTTTTGAAAGTCACGAAGCCGCCATCCCCATGGTGCAAAAGCCCAACTGGCGCACCTCCGTCCGACATACCCTCTCGGGGCATCAATGCTTTTATCAACTCACCCAAGGCATGCAGCGACTGTGGTGCTTTGACGAGGACAAGCTTCCCCGCCCTACTCGCGCCACGCTTTTGAAGTTTCGTATGCTGCTTCGCTCCCGTCCCGAAGGGGCCGCTGAACCCGTACGTCTCTGGCTCCTCCTAAGAAATCTTGTGCACACGTTTATCATGGCTCGTTTGCTGGCATGGCCTGCCCGCCGAAACATTTGTGTCATTGTCATGCTTTGCCCACCGGCCCTCATCTCCCTGCTTTGCGCATGCTGATCTCGGATCGACTACCTTGATTGGCGCGCTTTGGCTCACAATAGAATCTTCTCGAGGCTTTTCTCTGCAACATCCGTGATCACGGCCCACCCTCTCTATCCAAGGTGGAACTCGATAGCATGGCCCCCGATGCCGAGGGGGAAGAGCGAACCTCAGGCTTGCTACGCCCTCCCAGCTTTTCGCGCTACGCGCCTCGCTCTGTTTCCTCCCACCGCTCGACTCGCTCGCCCTCGCCCTCGCCGCGAATGATCAAGAGCCGCAGTGCCGTCAATTTTTGGACGGAGAACCAAAAACCCATGCCGCGCAGCCATAGCGACATTCAAGGCCTCGGTGCCATGCGCTCGGTCAAGCGTGAGGCCGTCAGTGATCCCGTGGCCGCCTCACCGGATAACCAGAGTTGGATGGGCATGCCCACGGCCGACTCGCCGCTGATGGACACGGAAGTGTCCGTACTTGGCGCAGCCGACAACCTGCGGCGTCGTCATCGCGCTCCTCCCCAACATCAACAAGCTGGCCAGCATCACACCCCTCATGCCTCGCACGGTTCCACCGGCTCACATGGCTCAAGCGATCTGGACAGCGTCAATGGTATGCAGCATGGCACAATGCAACATGGTGGTATGCAGCACGGCGGGATGCAACATGGCAATCTGAACGGCATGCAAGGAGGGCTCGGTGGCATGATGGGCATGAATGGCCCGAACGACATGAATGGCATGGCCGGTCTGAACGGTTTGAATGGGCTGAACGGCATGCACGGCATGCACGGCCTGAACGGCTTGGGCAACATGAGTGGTGTTCACGGCATGATGCGCAGTGTTGGAAGCATGGGTAGCCTCAGCAGCCTCAACGCTATGAGCACCGGTAATCACGGCATGGCAAGCGCCATGGCATCCCATAGCTCGGCTTCCAGGCTGGACATGAACGGGGCTGGCAATGCCGGTGCCTCGTCCAACTTTCTTGGCATGCCCAATGGACACGGGGCGTCGGCCGTGTCACCACCCGCCCAGAACATGCCCTTGAATCTGCAGAGTCTCAATCTCAACTCGGGGTCGGGTCCAGCCACACAGGGCGCACCGGCGCAATTTCCTTTGGACGCGGTGGCGCTGGCCCAAGCCAACATCAATGCCATGAATCTACCTGAGCATGAAAAGCAACAGTTGTTGCAGGCCGTACACGATCGTCTCATTCAGCAGTTGCATCAAGCACTGGCGCACAAGCACGCGGAGGCTCCCTTCAATGGCATGGGCGGCATGACGGCGGAGCAAGTGGCACGGCAAACGGCCAGCCTGCAAGCTGCACGCTTTCCCGAACAAGCCGCCTTCAATCCGCCCAGCAGTCAGCCTCCCATGGATACGGCTCACAAGCTAGAGGCGAGCGGGCCAGCCGTCTCCTCAGCGGCGATCCCCACGGTTTCAGAGCATTCGGCGAGCGATTTTGATGCCGTGAGTTTGCCTTCTTTCCCCAACGCTCTAGCGGATATGGAGACCTTGGATGCAATCGAGAGCCTGTTGCGACGTGACGACGACGGGCTCAAGGACTGTGCACGCAGCTTGGACGGACCCGTGCCTCGTGATTCCTTCGACTTTTCACAGCTTTTGGAGTCGTGTGACCTCATGGATCTCATCGAGTCCTGAGATGCCAGTTTCTTTTCCCGCGCCTTCTTGTTGTTGCGGTGGCCCATGTGGTAGCCCCCCCCCTTGTGTTTCAATTCGTTTCCCTCCTGTTGAGGACTCGTGCCCATCCCTTCCAAGCTCTTTGGACGAGATGGCAGAGGCCCTCTTGGTTGATCTTGTTCTGCTTTATTCTACGCGGCTGGGTTGGTCTGCCATGCATATTGTACAAGTGTTGACACCTTTATTTTCCTTCTTTCTCCTCGTCTTCCGGCTGGGCCTTGCGCCATTGTTTTGGGCTCGTATAGCTCGTGTGGCTCGTGTGTATGCTCGTGTGTATGTGCGTGTGTGCATGTGCGTGTGTGCATGTTCGTGTATGTATGGATGTATGTGTGTGTGTGTGTGTGCGTGTGTGTAAGTGTGCGCGCGTCAAGGGGTGCAGTCTGTGGATGCGCTCTTTTTGAAGCACACTTTGACCAGATCAGCGCAGGTCAAGATAGTATTTGGAAGAAGCTCTGGCAGGCTGAGCGAGGCCTTCTGGTAGCGCCCGCCGTCGACATTGTCAGTTTTCTTTTATCTTTTCGACTGTTCCTTCCACTTTGTGTGTTGATAATCTTGGTTGTACATTGTAGTGTTGATCTGTGCCCCTTTGAAGTTCGCCTCGTCAAATCTATCAGGACAGCACAGATGTGACTGTTGTGCGCCTAGCGTGAAGGAGGGGCACGGGCGTTGTTTCTGTTGTTTGACCCCTTGCCTGGGCGCTTACTGCGCAGTTTGTTGCCTTGCTTCACCGCTCTTGTTGACGACCCTGCTCGGTCGGACGTAAACGAATTTGATGTGCATGATGATTCTTTTATTTGGTCTGTGGCAGCACTTTGACGATCTGGGGAACACCGAGAGAAGAAAGAGCCGTTGGATGGAAGGCATGTGTGTGTGTGTGTGTCTGCGTCGTGGTGAGCACAGCGGTGGCGGCAGTTGCTCGGTGCCATTGGACCGAGGAGACATTCCGTTTGGTTGCATTCACGTTGAACGCGCCTATGATGGCTTTTTGAGTCAAGTCATGTCTCGCTGTCCGGGGTGAGGGATGACTCCGCGTCGTTCGTTCACGTGGTACAATGACATTATGGGTTGCCACGTTTGCTTACGTGCGCGAGCTCGGTCTGCTTGACGTCGGGGCAGAATAACGAGGCGTTCAGTCATCAGTTGCTTGTCCGACCTTTGACCCACTTGAGTGCTGTCGCGGGCAGCGGCGCAGACGGAGGAGCATTCGCAGGACTCGAATGAGCGAATCGCGTAACAGGGCACCCCATTTTTTTCAGACCAAGTGTTGTTCCAAAACCAGAAACCCTAGTGGCAGGGCAGACGCAGCCGCCACGAGCAGAGAATCCCGTCGTGGCAAAGAAGTGTCCAACCAAAGCAACGCACGAGCGGGTGACCGAAGAGAGGACAGGCGACGCAAAGGGTCACTCAAGGCTAGTGGAATAGGAATGATATGGGAGAACGCGCGTGTTGTGTTGTATGTTGTGTATGGTGTGTGTGTGTGGTGGTGTTGAGGTTGAGGGGTATTGGTTGTGATGGGCGCGCGCGAGCGGCTGGTCTCGCTGGTCGTGGCTGTAGCGCCATCCCGCTGCGACGACCCGCCACCCTGACACTGTTCTCGTCTGGCGAGGATTGGAAAGGCGGATGGGGACACTACGCGAGCGTGTGGTAGTGGGGAACGATCGAAGAACCGTAAGAAGATGGGTGCTGTAGGTTCAGTGGGCAAGTCGGAGGTCGGACGTAGGATAAAGTGCTGAGATTTGCTTTTGCAGGTGCATGTTCAGGTCGCAGCATAAGCAAGGCCTTTGGGCTGGGACACCACGATATCGGTGGTGGGGGGGCGCGACCACCGCACGCTGGGGTATCGAGCGAAGGAAGAACCACGAGCCGGGACAAAGGCACCATGGCGGTTCACGAGGGGGTACGCTTGCCAATGTACGTACACACTTGTGTGATCGTAAGACGCTGCCTTGAGGCTGGGATACCGAGCAACGTGATTTGCAACACGGTGCTTGTTCGTGTGGTTGTAGAGTGGGGCAATGCAGACTGCGTTTTGGTGTCGCAGGCCCGAAGGTCAGAGCAGGAGTCGTACCCTGAACATCTTGTGTGCTTTCCCACCATGTGACGTTTGTGTCAAACACGAATATGTGGGCTGTGGGTGAGCAGAAGACATGCCGTGCAAGACCAAAGGAAGTGTTTAGGAAAGCAGGCAGAATCCAATCTGAATATGTCAATTAAAACCTTCATGAGCGGCGCCAGATTGGTCAAAACCCTCGACAGGTGTGCACGACAACTACTCGGCGCCATGGACCTAGAGCCTTGTACAGGGTACACAGCATGCGACCCACACTTTGAGGGACAACTTGCTCACCTTTCTGCGACCGCGCCACCCCCTTTCGATTTGATTCTCTCTGCTTGGACAGTTGGACGCTTGTTTTGTTTAACGTTTTGCCTGTTTCGAATTGTCAATGGATGTTTCTTTTGTTGTCAATGATTATTTCTTTTGTTTCTTTTGTTTCTTATTGTTCTGACGGCAGGCGCCTGTTGCTTGCCCCTTTCTCCCCTTTTTTCTCCCTACGACTCTGCGGACGACCCACAAGTGCGACACGCACACACAGAGGTAGAAGGTGTCACGCTGTTTGACAAATATCCGATCCGTGTGTGTGTGGGTGTAGAGACGCGCGTCAGCGTCAGCGCGGGTGTGTGTGACCGGCGCGGCGTCTCTGGGAGTCGTAGCGAAGCACCAGGAATCAGGAGAAGCCCGAGCCGCCAGGGGTGAATCATGTTCGAGAAGCCGCTGGCGCCTCGGCCCGCGTGGTGCAGCCAGGACCGGTCTCTGCCAGCGCGCCGCTCGGCAACGACCCGACCGTAACCGCCCACCACATCGCCCACGCCAAAGCTACACACAACACAACGCCACACACACAACGCCACACTCAAACCCAGACACACACACACACACAAAGAAGAAGAAAAAGAATCGCAAAAAACCAACAGAGACTCGGAAAAACAACTTGTGAGTGTGTGAGCGGTGGTGGATAACTCTCTCTCTCTCTCTCTTGCTCTCTTTCTCTCTTTCTCACACCCACACCCACACCCCCATTCGTGTGGACCAGATGCTCCCACCTCCCGCATTTTCCTCTTCGACCGGCTCCCGAGCATTTGCCACTGAATACACTTATAACACACAGTTCTCCGGCTTTAGACCGTCTCGGGGCGCTGCCATTTTCTGTCGACTATCAATCACCTCGTATTATCTTATTGGGTGTTCTTGTTGAAGCTGCTGCACAGTCAACGCCCGCTTTTCCCTCCGACACCGCGCAAGATGCTGACTGCACTACCTTCCCCCAGCTTTGCCTTTGGTGGCTTTGCTGCCAGCACCTGTGGTGCGCAAATGATGACCGATCCGCGCAACTCCCAGCAACAACAGCAACAACAACAATCGGCCAACATCTTCTTTCCCGAGGGCATCAACTTCAAAGCCCCCGCCCAACCGACTCTGCCCGAGCACCTCTTGGCCACCCAGCAACAGCAACAGCAACACTTTCAACAAATGATGGCCAACGGCAACACACCCCAGTTGACACTGGTCACCCCCATGATGCTCAAGACCCCCACTGGCCTCAAGACGCCCTCGGGCCTTAAGACCCCCGCCTTTTTGAAGCTCAGCCCCGGCTTTAATTTCGATGGCTCAGCCTTTTTCCCTTCCAGCGACGAGCCCAGCACTCCCTGGCTTATGGCGACAGCCCTCTCGGCCAATACCAACCTCGGCTCCATCAGCGCCGACCCAGCGACCTCGGACAACTCGGCGCTCGTTGTCCCAAGCGACGCTGCTGCAGAGGTCTCCTCCGCATCCAACATGGCCATTACCTCAGTCGCCAGTTCCAGCCACTCCGCATTGCCCACCACAAGCGCTGCTGCTCCCATCACAACCAGCCACGCCTTGGACAACCCCTGGGCTGAACTCAGCAACTCCCCCCTGGGTGACATGGCCCCCTCGGCCTCGGTCCAGCTTCCCGCCGACGCCTCTGTCATCTTGGAGGACCTCGAGGCCACCCTCGATGCCTTCGCACACGACACGGTCGGTGATTTTCCCCAGGCCGTCGTCTACAACCAACACGACACGACGCTGCAATTTTCCCTCGTCAACTCGCCCAACGACAATGACAGCTCAAACCGCTCCAGCTCGTCGGCCTACACCTCGGACGCCTCCTCCAGCCGCAGCTCAGAATCGGACGCCAAACGCGCCAAGCGTGACCCTGCCCTGGCCTCAAGCATGAGCAGCGTCGACAGCCAACAGAGCTCCACCCTCGACGCGGCAAGTAGCAAGGGTGCCAAGGCCAAGTCAGCCCGCCGACGCCGCAAGAACAGCAAGAGCAACGTCAATCGCCGCGTCGCCAACATGTCCGAGGACAAGCGTCAACATATCCGTCGCCTGGCCCGTGAAGCTGCCAAGCGCCGCAAGAACCGCGCCGAAACCGACTGGCAATCGCGGGCCTCGCACATTGAGACCCTCGACCAGCACCGTGCCAATCTCCTCTCCGAGATTGACTCGTGCAAGGCCAAGATTCGCGTGCTCCTCGAAGCCGCCAAGGTGCAGATGGGCGTGCCCAACTAAACATTCGCCTCTTCTTGGACCTTGTTTTTCCTCATGGATACACTTCCTGCCACTGGGCTGGCGCATGAGGCCTTTCTTCGCCTCAACACGATTACGTTCTTCGAACGACGCTCGAGCTTGCAGCTCGCTTGTTCCGTGCCTCAAAAGTCAACGGCACCAGCGGTGCCCAAAAAGAAAGTTGGCGCTCCCCGGGCTTTTTTTCTTTCGAGACCAAGTCTCCTTGACTTTTGCTTCCTTTCACTCGTGATGTTTTGTTTTTGATTTTTTTATCGTGACTTACTGTGTGTGCATATGACCATGAGGTCGGGCAGATTGGCATGCCGTGCATGCCATGTTAGGCGTGCTGGCGGCTCCATGGGTCGCGAGCACGGCCATATTTGCTACTGTCGTCTCTTCTTTGTGTTTTACTTGTTGCTATTAGCTGAGAATATCTAGTTTAATGTCTGCTTGTCGCCCATGTTTTCTTGGTCCTGTTGTCTTTCTGCGCGCGAGGCGCCTCGCCACTGGGTGTGCCAGGTTCTTGCAGAACCCTTCCCTATATTTGCTCTGGCCGTGAGAGCCGGTCCCGATTCAATGTGAATGGTTCGGCCCAATCAAATCCTCTATTATTATTATTATCATTATCTTTGCTATCATATTAATGTGCTCTGGCGTCAGACACACTGAAGATGCCACCAAGGATCGTGAACAAGCAAGCATCAAAAGCAAAAGCATCTTGTTCATTCAACATCAAACACTTTTTTTTTGAAAAAAAGGCTCCAATTGGTCCTTCCAGATGTGTCACAGCAGGGTCGCACCAGCACCACGGACGCGGCGTTCCCTGGTTGCTCACGACCACACTTTCGACGGATGACGTGAGTTTGGCGGCGCTTTTGATTTACATGTTAAAACGCCCAGCAAGGTAGGTGAGCGTAGATTGCGTCCCAAACATGCAATCCCATGAAGGACGCGCCATCACGAAGCTAAGCCAGGCACCTTGGTCCTCACAAATTACACTCCTTCGTTGACAACTTGCCCTGTCACGTCTTTCATGACTCCACGTCAAGGAGACCTCGCCCATCACGAAAAGTATCCCACAAGCCAAACACGTCATCTTGGGACCCCCTTGACGGTTGGCGATTGACATGTGAGTTGCTTCACTTCATCAAAAATGTTAGTTAATTATGACTTGAATTGCGCGCACCTGTCATCATCACAATCAACCCAAAGACAAGCTGGGCAACCAACCAACAGACAAACGGTAGGAAACCACGCCACACCAAAGCAACAGACAGAAAATGGGGTAGGTTCAACCTGTCCAGGCGGGCTGCATGTATCCGCTAGCCAGCCGATGGCTCGGGTGTGCCGGTCGTACAACTAAACGCTAGACGAGCTCTCTGATACAGTAAGGGTGCCGTTGAACTGCAGGTCACCGTCCAGCCACATGATGTAGTTGGTACCCCAGATGTTGTTCCACAGCAAGGCTGCAAGGCTGCCCGTATCCCGACCCGCCTCGGGCAGATCTGCCTTGCGAACCGGTGCAGGGAAAGGGGTGGGACAGGCCCCGACGCTCAAGAGGCGTGCCTGTTCTGACACCAGTGCGAGGGCGGGGCCCGTACCGTTGGCCAGGCGCACCTCTGCACGGTCCACAATATGGTTGTGCAAGGCCCCGCCATCCACGACGTCCAACTGCCCTTGGATCTCCGTGGCGACCTTGCGGAGGCGCGTTGCGCTTGCATCGGTTGGCACAACGCGTAGGAACATGGCCTCGGGTAGTCGCGTGGCCGTCTTGTTGCGGTGAATCACCGTCCATGCCAGCTCTGACGTGGTGTCTGCGCCGGACGAGTTCAGACTGGTGCTGTCTTGCCAAAGCATGTCAGTGACAAGGGGAGCCCCGGCATCGCGCACTACATCAGCGGGCCACACGAGTCGCGCCAGCAGCGTTGTATTGTTCGGTGCCAGGTATGCGGCTTGCAGTTGCGGGCTCACCACTCTATCAGGGCGCGCGTTGCGGTGAGCACAGGAAGGCACAGCGGCCAGCCAGCCTTGGAGGAAAGGCGCTGATAAGCGATTGTGCTCTTACCGGTGTTGGGCGCCAGCCTTGTCAATGCCCATTTTGTTGAAGTCATCGCCGTCATCCAGCATGAACAAGGGGCCAATGTAATTGTACTGGAGTAAGAACTCGTCGTAGTCCAGGGCACTGTATGTGTGATACTCGGGGCACAGAAGCAAGCCCGTAACGACTGTATCGCCGCGCATGCCCGAGTCCGGGTGGATATGCAAATCAAAACATAGCAAGCAGTGGCAAAGGTGAGTCAGGCGGACATGAGTGCAAGCCGGGGAGGATGCGAGGAGCCGTGGCGGCCTCCCGAGCGCGGAACACACCCGTGCCCGAGCCCGTCGTCAGGCTTTGAATACAGCCTGTTGTGCCGTTGAGAACAAGAATCGAGCCCTCGAGGTGGGCGTGTACCTGGCCCGCGCTGTCGATCGGCAAGCGTGTCCAGTTGGTTGGGTCGACGGACACTGGCTCCAAAGCCGCCAAGCGACGCGCGACATCATCGCCAAGTGAAGTGTTGGCCACAGCGCTTTGGGCAAAAGCTGCGCCATACGTGTCCTGTCGCACCCAAGAGGCGGCCAAGCGTTCGTAGTCGGGGTTGTGGCGGGCCTGCTCAAACTCGACGTTGCTCCAGTTTTCCCGAAGATTTATCAGCGTTGACTTGACGTCAAGGCCCCATGTGTGTTCGGCACCCTTTAAAAAGGCATGGAAGAAGCGCTGGACGGCAGGGTCGGACCAGGTGCAGGTGTTGGCGGACAAGCAGCGCTCCAGCGCCAGATCCAGCTGGTGTATCTTTGCTAGCTTGCGCGGGTCTGAGGCAACACCATGCAGCCATGTGTCGCCAAGCTCGTGGGAGAGGACGGGCAGGTTTGCCAAAACGGCGGGTTCCTCAGTGGTGACGGCCTCGAGATATTCTTCAAAGGCGGCAACGCGGACGCGGGCACCCGGGAATTGTGCCTGAACATCTTCAAATTGCTGTATGATGGCATCCACGGTGGGCAGAGGCCCGCTGTTGTCGCCGTTCCAGGCAATGATCAGGGCCTTGCGGGAGCCCGGCAAACGGGTGGGCACATGATAGCGCTTGAACTGGCTGATGCCTCCATAACCACCACTGAGGTACATGGTCAGAAGGCTGGCATTGGTGACTGGATCAAGCCAACGAAACGCGCGCGGGACGTTGGGTGGGGTGGAGCCGCCGTTGGAGCCTACACTAATGGCCTGCACCCCAGCGGCTTGCAAGGGCGCGAGAACGCCGCGGGAGAGGCCCGGAACATCGCGTTGGGAGAGGACTGTCTTGCGGGTGACATTGAAATGGTCATCAAGATCATGGGTCAGGCGCACGGCCAGCTCGAGGCTGGTGGCCGAGAGCAGCTCCAGTTGGGCATTGTGAGGGAAGGCCTGCCAGGTGATGTAGCCCGCTCGGACGGCTTCCTCTAGTTCCTCGATGGCGGTGGCATTGGGGCAAGCAATGCCAGGAGGCTGAACGGCCTCGCAGTTGATATAAAGCCAGACAAGCCAGGATTGGGCGGTAAACTTGAGCTGCGGGCTAAAGGCGGAGGCATTGCGCGCCTGCAGTTCGCGACCCAAAGTTCGGGCGAGCGGGAAAAAGTCGTTGAACCATCTTGCCACAATGACAGGCAAGGTGTCAGCAAAGCCTAAAAGGGTGTGGGACAAGGACGAGGCACGAAACAACCAAATACAGGACCAATCAGGAAAAAGCTCCGAGGACAAGGGCGGAGGCAGGTGTGGGGAGGTCGCACCGGCATCGAAATGACAGCCCTGGACGACGTAAACGTCGTCAATCTGTTCACGCTCCGCGTCGGGGTAATAACACCTGGTGCCAACCAAAACCAGTCATGAGCAAGAAGGCGCACGGCCCCACCACGAGCCAGTGGCAGACTTCACGATGAGCAACGACTAGCCCCGTCTTGTCGGGTAGCCTCACATCCGGGACGCGCGCATACCGTACCACGTCAAGGTATGGTTTGAGGGCTGCCAGCAGCACCCGCGGGCCGTGCACTCTGCTTCGCTGTCCCAGCGCCACATGCCCCCACAATTGAGCGGGGCTGCCGCCTCGGGCAATGCACATGATCCCGATCCCGATCCCGATCCTGATTCCGCCGCCACCGCCACCGCCGAGGCAAGAAGCACCAGAGCAGGCCACGCCCTCACACACACCCACTCCTCCATGGTCACGTAATGTCAGACTTTATTCGGTTAAATGTCAGATAAAATGGGGAGCAACGGTCCACCTCGGCATGAGGGGCGCGACGACTTTTAGGCGGAATACACATAAACACAAACACAAAAGAAGAACATGGAAACATGAGTGGTGTGCTCTCTTCCTCCCTCTTACGATCTCTGACCATCAGCCATCAGCTGCCTCTCTCTCTGCTTTGGCTTCTAGTTGACCTGTGGTTCCTTCAGCTGGGTGTCTCTGTCTCTTCAGCCATCTCCAATGTTTGTCGCTTCTCTGGTGGCAAATCGATCCAACCCCTGCCCTGGTGCGCACCTGCAGCCGTTGCTCTCTCTCTCTCTGTGCTCGGCACGCTCGCACCCTCACCCGTGCTTGTGCTTGCGCTCGGAAACCCTTTGCTGCACTCACACATGCGTGCTTCCTCCGTCCTTGATGTTTAAAAAGGCCATCCTAGACCATACTGTACGCGACCAGTGGCACATGTTAGGGTGAAGGCGGGGGTGAGAAGCAGCTGCGATCGCTGAGACCTCAAGCCCAGAACGTGTCAGTCTATCTGGCTGGACGTTGCCTTCCCAGCCATAGACCGCCTCAGATGGCATCGCAAGGCAAGGCTGTACCAGGGGCCAGCCAGCGGCACCGGCGCCGCTCCAGTGGCATCAAAATGGCCAAAACCATGGCGCTAGCTCCGCGTGTCGATGCTCGCTTCATGCGCCTGGACAAGCAGCGGCCCAGCCCCGAGCAGCTACCGACCTGGGCCACAGATGCCGCTCTGAACCGGTCTCTTGGTGTATTGCCCTCCCCACGCACTCGCGTTTGTGTACGCGCCGGCGATCCCCCGTACGTGTGTTTCTTTGGACCTGTCCTCCTGCTTGTCTCTGAGTTGATTCGCATAGCTCGGGGCTGCTGCTAGCCGCATGATCCTGGCTTTGACCTGCGAGAGGGGAGGCAAATGGGACTGGCACAGAGACAGAGGAAGAGAGAACGGGGAGGGACAGGAAGGGGAAAGATGGGTTGAAAGACACGATGAGAAGAAGTGCTTCCACCGTGCCAACCGCTCACCTGCCTTTGTCCTGCTCAGACTGAACATCAATTCCCGGGGTGCCTACATTAATGCAAACTTTGTGCGTGGCTTTGACCACGAGCACTGCTATTACATTGCAGCCATGTCGTGCGTGACAGCGCTCCCATGTCCTCGTTTCCCTCCGCTCGCAATTACTACGATTGCCGCTGCGATCTGCCTTGTGCTGCCCTTGTTGGTGTCTCACAACCCGGGCTTCCCATCCTTCAGCCCCACCGCCACTTCTCTCCTCCAGTTTTGGCTCATGATCTGGGAGAACAAGGTTCTCAGCATCTTGATGCTCTCCAAGATTACCGAGCAGGTCCGCGCGCCCGGCCTGCCGTATATGCCTTTATATGCGGTCTTCTTGGAATCTCGCACATCAGTGCACATTGTGTTGGCAGACCAGCACGCTCATGTAGCTCTTTCCTCCTGACGCGCCGTGTAGAATCGCGATCAATGCGCCGTCTACTGGCCAACCGAGCCTGGCGTCACCGTCAAGCTCCCAAATGGCATGCTGGCTACTTGCACCAGCAAGGAGGAAAAACATCATGGGTCCATTCTCCGCCGCATTACACTCAAATGGGTGCGCCCAAGCCCTGCCCTTTCGCTGTTGTGTACCAGGCTCTGACAGCAGCTTCCGATGGGCTATGTGCGGCGTGCTTTGCCGTTTTGTATCGACACGGCGTCTCACCCATGCCCCCCCCCCCCCCCCCCA